GGCTTATGATCTATGATATAGTCTTCTTCCAAGAATCAAGCGTTCGTACTAACGATTACCTTCTGATCCTCAGGACTATAAAATAAACCACCTTTCGTTTCCTTGGAATAACCGACAAACAGTCTCACTTCTGAACGTCTCCAACTTGCCAGCCTCCTGAACTAAGACATGTGCAGGGCAACCCCAAATTCGAATTTGTGAGAAACTAGGCTTGCGCCCTTTCCACAATTCATAAAGAGTACTGTCTACTGACTTTGAAAGAACAAAATTCAGAATGTAACATGCTGTCTCTAATGCAAATCCCCAAAACGAATCTAGTAACTTCGAATAACTCATCATCGACCTAACCATTTCCATAAGAGTTCTGTTTCTTCGCTCTGCAACCCCTTCTGCTAGGGCGTGCCGGGTGCAGTCAGTTAGGATTCATTCCCTGCTTCTGATAGGTATGTCCTAAACTCTCCAAAGAGGTATTCGCCTCCTCGATCAGATCGAAAACACTTGATACTTTTACCTTGTTGTTTCTCCACAACTGTCATATACTCCTTGAATTTCTCAAAGCATTCGGACTTGCGGTGCAACAAGTAAATGTATCCATATCTAGAATAATCATCAGTAAAGTGACGAAATACTTATAGCCTCCTCTAGCTTGGATTGACATAGGACCACACAAATCAGAATGAATCAATCCTAGCACTTATTGGCTCCTTCGCCCCTTTGCCGAAAACGGTCTCTTGGTCATCTTACCTTCTAGGTAGGACTCGCAATTCTGGTAATGATCTTCTACTGGACCAACATGCCCAGTAGATACCAACCTTTGAATCCTCCTAAGTTGATGTGCCTAAGCCTAAGGTGCCAAAGATATGCATGATTCATCGAACACTCTTTTCTCTTATAATTTTTAGTCGAGACATTATTCGATTCATTTTGTTACAGTGTGGGAGACTTTGGTTTCAGAACATATAGATTGCCAACCATTGAACCAGAACAAATCAAATGATTACCATAACGAATAACAACTGAGTTATTAAACGAAACTGAATAACCATTCAAAACAAGTTTAGAAACTGAAATTAAATTCTTCCTAAAACTTGGAACAAAAAGACAATTGTTCAAAATCAAAATACTAGCATCAAATACTAAAGTAACTACTCCCACTGCAACTGCTGCTACTTTCGTAGCATTGCCCATGTAGGCTGTAATCTCTCCATCCCTAAGCCGTCTGGTTTCTTAAAACCCCTGCAAAGAATTGCAGACATGATCAGTGGCTTCAGTATCTACACACCAGGTATTGGTAGATACAACCACTAAACATGTTTCTACGACGGAAGTATGAGAATTACCTTCTTTGTCCTTCTTGAGGAGAGGACAATCGACCTTTCAGTGCCTTGACTTATTGCATTTGTGGCATCTACCTTTCGGCTTCTTTGCCACAGC